CCCCAAAACCCCAAAACCCCAAAACCCCTTAGAGCTTATAAATTATTAATGAAAGATAAAAATTAAATGAACATCAATTGTGTACACTATTTCTCTTTGAATGGAATTTGCTTATAAACATATTGATCAAATCCTCATCCTCCTTCATTATCTCTTAAAGAGAAATTTAATCCTCTTTTTTCCTTATAATTTTAGTAACATCAAACTTAGCCTTAGTTTTGAGTTTTCCGTCCCAAGATATGATCTTTTTATCAACTCTATGTTAATCAACTGCATCATATTTAGGATTATAGTATCCAGGAGATAAGCAGCTACCAACTGGAGATTTATTAAATCCATTGGTACTAAAATATAGTTCTCTCATTATTCGATCTGGCTTTTTTTAAGACTACTTTCTTGAATTATTATGAGAACTAGTTTTCCTAATAGGGGCCAGTGCGAATCCATCTCTGTATACTTATTTGCCAAATTAAATCTGACAAGATGGTAGTTTTCTATAGTTTGATATTTTGTCCAGCAAGGTGCTTGGCTAAAAATCAAATCTATTTTCATTGACATCTCTTTATCCTACAATAATTTATCTCTCTCCCTTCTTTTGAAAATCTGGAATAAGTTTACTTAAAACTTTAGGTGAGCCCTTGGATGAATTTTTACCTGTACCTTCTTCTTTAGTCTACAAACTTCTAGCACATCTTTAGCTTAAATTTTTTGTATCACGAGTAAATGAATGTCTTATTGGGATGTTAAAAGGACTCCGAGTTGATATTCCCAATTCTTATTCCATAAATGAATGCTATGTCATTTTAGCCTTATTTGGGCTCTCACTCATTGTATTTTATTAAGTTTTAGCTTCATCAACTTTCTTTGCGATTGTCTATTTAAACATATCAATCATCTAGTTGTTGTTATTATCTTAAGATAATTGAAGATTTTAAGTCAAGTTGAATTCAGATATTAAGCTACCTCTCTCATTACCTCCTTTACTTCTCTTAGTGACAACCACAGATTTATTAAACCTGAGATTTGGCAGATTCGGATCCACAGCATTATATTTTGGCTAATACTATCCAATGGGTGGAGCTAGTTTGAGATCTCTTTCTAATTTGTCTATTTTCTTTCTAGTGATGTTATCAAACACAACATCTCTTTCCTCAAAAATTTTGAATATTTTATCAACATTACGATTAATTTACTATTTAACTTGTTATTATTTCCTCTAAATAGATCTGTTATTATTAGATCTTTCTCCTTTTGATTCGAAAGTGCTATTATTACCTTCAAGTCCACTTGAAGTTACTTGAGATTTCATAATTCTGGAAAGTTTAGTTTCAAGAAATTGGATTTTCTTCTGTAGGCGATAATTTTATTAAGGGTCTTAGAGTCTTTGACCTTGAAACAGCTCTTAGAGATCAATACTTTTCCCATGCTAAATCTAGTCTACAATTTACTTCTTCTTTCCCTTGATCTTATTAATCAATCCATTTGTGTACTCATGCACCTCCTGCTTGGCAATTTGCCTCTAAAAATCCTTGAAGTTCTTCTAGAACTTTTCCTTGTTTTCTTGGTTCTGCAATTTATGGTAGTCGTTATTATCTATCTCTGGAGTGAGCCAGCTATCCAAGTTATATAACTTCTCTTAAATCTCTTTCATCTTGTGATATTTGATCTTCTTTTAAAGTTCAAGTTCTTGATTTTGCTGGTACTTTTTAAGATCATACTAAATAGCTAAAGTTAAGCACGGAAATAAGCATTAAAATTTATTAAGGATCAATTTTATAGAGGGACTTAGATAAATTTTGATTTTCTTAATAAACTACGTACCTTTTTGCCATTGATATGCTCAACGTGTCTCTTTATGACAAGTTGATTATCTTTCATAGAATTACCAATCTTGGAGTTCAAGTTGAACTAGTCTTATTCAGTAAATTTTATCTCTTAGCTCATTTGATTTTGATAGCACTAGTGGTCTTGCTGTTTCTTTAAACAATTAAATTTAATTTATTACTGCTTTTTTAATTATTTATAAAAGGAAGTTATGAGTAGTAATGAAATTATTTATAAATTTTTAGTCAAATGTTATTTTTAGTTTAATTGCATCTTTAGTTTGAACATCACTCTCTTGAATCATGCTTTTCCTCTTCCTCTTATATGAGGATAGGTCTCTTCTTCATGTTTGAAGTTGGGACATCAAGGTTAGCAGGATCTATGTTTCCATCAGATAGATTAAAGAAGGATGACTCTTATTTAGCAATGATTTTAGCTTTAGGAGATGTCAAGTTCTTATCTTAAACTTGATTATTTCTGTTGCTTCCATTATCCAAAAGCAGGCCATCTAATTGAGCTTCATCCTCAGCATTGTTGTCCTCTTCTTTGGGTGAAAGACTATGATTGTTTAAGTCCATCATATTCTGCTTTGAATGTCTTCTCTGCACATCATCAACACCCAATATTACACCTTTCTTAAAGTTAGAAATGTCATTCTTTTCAGTGATATTCTTTTTCAATTCCTCCATATCACTTAGATGTCTGATCATTGAGGAGAATGGTCTGTCAATGAATATATAGAGAATGTTAGTTAGAGTGAGTGTGAAAACAAAATTGCCACAGAAGTAATAGAAGAACATTTGATAATCAACATGAAGGGCATTTGACATTGAGATAAAGTAGAAGAGACAAATCATCGGGCATACTTAGTAGATTCCATAAGCGATGTTTGGGAAAGGAGACCAGAGATCTCCTCCAAAGAAGAACCTCACAAATTAAGCCTTGCCTAAAAGAGCAGGTATGATAAGCATACTAAAGCCAAGAGCAAAGGTGAAGTAGGCAAAACTTGCATAGAATCCCTAAGCTGTGTACCTGTCATTAGTCATTAAAAGTCCGTGGCAGCCGAGAAAACTTATAAACATCAAGAATAGTCCAAAAAGATAGAGAGGATATCTTATCTTTGCGTTCTCATTAATTGCATTTAAAATTCTCTAAGGAATGGAGTTTTCTTCGAATTCCTCTGGTTATGTCTAGGACTTTTCACTTACATATTCATAGTAAATCATTGCAAGTCCAACACCTAATAGATAAGCGTTGATATGGAACCATGGTTTCATGAAGATGTCTGCATAGAACTTGTAATTTCTGTTATCATCATCTAATATTGGAACAGCTCCATTCTTAGCAGTAGCAACAAGGGAAATATTTAGAGCGAAGAAGAAAGACATCACAATAAGGAATACTATTGATATGATGATCTTCTTTTTAATGAGTTTGTAAGCAAGGAGGATAAATGGAAGAAGTGCTGTGAGCTACAAATAGACTGGCAAGTACCAGTTCCATCCCAAACACTTGTCATCATATGCAACTGGATAGAAGTTGTTAATGAAGAGAGCATTTGTCCACCAGTAAGTTTTGCAAGGATCAACAATCTTCTCGTAGTCACCCCAGATAGGTCCACTTCCTAAGTAAGGCATTACAAAGATAAAGAAGGCAATGCAGAAGGTGTTGAATGGGATAACCTTAATAACCTTCCTAAGGTAATAGTTCCAAATGTTTTTAGCGCTGAATTATTATGTCTCTTTTGTTTGAAGGAATGAGAATGTTGACAAGAAACCAGAAGTGAACAGGAACATAGGCACAATAAAGAATACTCCTGGAATGATAGCGAATAATATGTTGTTTTTCATCTTGTTAATGTCACTTGGGTTATCATAGATTGCGTACCAAGAGAAGAAATAGGTACAGCCATAGATGAAATAAATGCTGCTCAATGCTTTGATACCATTGAATACGCGTAAATTCTTTACAAGATCTTAATTCAGTTAACCATCCATCGCCTTCAAGTAGGGAGGAGGCATTTAGCTCATTTTGATGAAATTTCTAATTGGAGAGAAGCACATAATTCCTCTAGCCCATGCTTTTTTCCTTTGCAAAAGAATTGGTTCATACTATTTGACAGTATTGAACTTGGCAGCAGCATTTAGTTTTTCATAGTTAAGATCCGCAATATCACCGGCTTTGGAGAGCTCAACAATACTTCCTACCACACCTAAAACGATCATAGCTGCAAGAATTAGGAGTGTAATAAGAGCTCCAGTTGTCAATGAGGATGCCTTGGCTGAATTGTCTCTTGAGGCGAAGGTATAAGAAACTGAAACGTTAGTCCAATTAACATTCATTGCCATTGAAGTAAAATGAGGGTTCATTGAGACTACATCTTTCTCTTGACATTATTTGGGGATGCACATACCAACATAAGTGGAAAAATTCTTATATTTTCCTGCACCACCCCTCGTGAAATCAGCTGTGCCATTATAGTCACCAGCAATATTTACTAGCAAATATTGGCCTTAGTTTGCATCTGCGAGACACGATTCATAATCTCCCCATTATCCGAGGTAGAGTCCGTTCAGTAGCAAATAGAAGATGTTTCCAATATTAGTGACATCTTGGATCATTTAGTTAATAGCAGTTGAGCAGTTAACATCCCAATTGATAGTGGCTCTTTGAGTTTCAGTCTTAGGTAGGAGATCAAAAGTCTCCAGAACATCGTTTAAAGTTATTTTCTTGACTTGCTTTCTTGTCTCAACAGTATTTGAGAATAAAATAACGAGACCTATCGTCAAATACAGAAAAGTTTTCGCTCTACTCATAATTAATTATTATAGAATATATCCATTCTAGATACTTCTTATTATTCTAATCATACTATGATGGGGTTTTGGGGTTTTGGGGTTTTGGGGTTTTGGGG